ATTAGTTTCCAATGTCTATTCTTTCACACATATGATCATATGTTGTTTCAATAAATCATTCAGTAACAAATATATGTGGTTCGATGTTACATTAACTAATTTTTAATACTTTCATCTTATTTTAAGCAACCAGAGTTTGGAATATCTACAAAAAGTTGGGACTAGTGTTAAGTAATAGTCCAGATTAAGATCGTGTTCGATGTCTATATTATCCACTTTTTCAGGAATATTATGATGCCTATTCGTTAGAATAAATCTTAAGTAGGTATGTTGTATTTTGGGAAAAACCAGTAATTAGTTATACACAACGTAGAACCTGATAGATATGTACACTGGTTGAAGGTCCTACACTCTGATTGGCAAAGGCCAATTAAATCATCAAGATAAAAGCCAGAGTAGTAGAGATTTTAGTGGTTGGTCATTGAGAAGATGTATGGATATAAATGAACATATAGACCGGGGAAATGAAGAAAAACACATAATACAAATCCGAACCATCTCAGCCAATGATATCTTGTCCGATCAATAGATTTTTTTATCGTTAACTAATGCCTTACGTTTAATATTAGGATTACTAACTCAATGGTCCTGACACATGTAAACAATTCTTTGAAGGCACTCATGATCAAGTACTAGGAACTTACAAATATTCTCTTTTAAGAAAGGATTATTGAAATGAATAAAATTGAACATAACAAACTGTTACATGGTAAACACTTTCTCTGGTTAGCAGACGGACAGCTCACTTAAGCCACAAAGGACGCCAGTTGGCAAGGTTGAACTAGCTTTCTAAGTATGTTTGGAGATTTTGTTAGACACCAACCCACCAGAGCTGATGAGACATCTAAAACAAGTGAAATGGTCGACTAGGTCAATTACTTCATTCCGCATCAATAGTGTGGGCGTTGAAACAGACAATTTTTCAGGCGACACTTTTCACGTGGAGGGATAAAATCGTATTCCACACAGGCTTTGATAGTTGTTCAGATCAATTACAAAACTTCACTGAGCAAGACTATGTCATCCGTATATTTCAAATCAATAAGTGAATCTATCTGCAGGAGTTAAGTATAGACGTCCTGGAACTTGAAGAACGAATATTTAATCTAAACATCCACAATACACGGAATACAACGAGTGAAACATACAAACAAGAAAACTGGTTCAACGAAGAGTTCTCTTAGCAACAAATTTAGACTTAACGTTTTGTAGTTGTAAAACATAATTTTCCGCAACGGTAATCATTAGTGAGCTCGCTAAAACCACTGATCTCATGAACATGATAACGAAACCTCAAAAATCTTTCATTCTTATTAGGAAACTGGAAACTCGATTATTAAGATCTTGGATATCTATCAAGATTGTCAGACTTTTGTAGAATAATTGTGAAAAAAAGTTAAGAAATATGAAAGGGTAAATTGTTGAATTCATTTTCAAGTGATCTAATTGGAAATAATTCACTCGGTATGTAGAAAATTTGAAAAGTAAATTCATTGTAAGAAATGATTTGTCATGAAATTTTAATCCGGTAAATTTACACTAAAAGTTACATTGAACGTATGTTTGGAAATTCTGTTCAAAAACGTCTAGTTGACAAACAATAGATTCTCAAATAAAATACAGACTGATAGTCTCTTTTTACTTTCACGAAGATATATCGAGCAGTGCCTCAAAATATCCCCATACGATTCATTCGAACATTTTATTGATGTATCCGGTCACTTTAGAATTCACGATGAAGAAAAACAGTTTTCGGAATTATGTGTTGTATCCCGCTGAGTTAAATCAAAATTTCAGGCCTAATATAACTAGTGTTGTAAGCGGTTCCGCACAATATTTCCAACAACTGTGCAGTTGTTTACACTTAAACAGTTTTTACGTTCTTGATATATGTCTACAATGCTCTGAATTTGATATGGGCCATCGTACAAACTTTCAGGTAGATTCCTACAAAAACGCAATTATCAGATATCACGTTGCAACATTTATCCTATCAATATTGTGGATGCAATTAATTTAAACTTCTGGATATTGTCAGTAAATTCTATTTCATTAGAAAACAATTTGACCATCCCCATCAATTTCAACCGTAGTTTATTGTATGTATATAAAAACAATAATAAAATTTCACAGCATAGATTAGTCTATGCTCAAGTTCTAGCTGTAAAAAACGGCAAAATCCTAGCTTCACATCAAGGTGTTCCAAGCGTTTTCCCAAGTACAAATTAGTAAAGCTGTGGTTTCTGTACAAATTAATAGGCTTTTTAAATACTTAGTCGCACAATTCCAATTTCAGTACAATACATATAAACGAGTTTGCTTATACCAATGAATATATCACACTCAATTGTTAAAAGTATGAAGATTGCGTTTATTGAGTATATATACAAAGCATCAATTTCTACCGATATTTTATTCTTACATTGTCCCTAGCGAATTTAATCAGTTTCATTAGAATTTATCTAAATTAGTACGTCACAAAATAGTCAGGTATATATATGATAACATACTTATTAGGATAATGTTTTTGTTAAAGTTGTACTACATTACATTTTCCCAACCTTACATATGATATCCCAATCATCCAACCGAGTCTTTTGGTAGCACTGAGCGATAATGACAGGAAGTTTGGGATTCGTTTCTATCCCTCTAAATGCAAGTTGTTGCTTCAGGACTGGTCTGCGTCAACACCTGAACTAAGGATAGGGAGTGAAGTAGTCGAACGCGTTGACAACTTCACTTATCTTGGAAGTCTGATCAGCCCTAATGGGTTGGTATCGGACGAAATCTCAGCACGGATTCGAAAAGCTCGTTTGGCTTTCGCCAACTTACGTCACCTGTGGCGAAGGCGAGATATCCGTCTATCAATAAAAGGACGAGTATGCTGCGCAGCAGTCCGTTTTGTTCTACTTTACGACTGCGAAACATGGCCTTTACGAGTAGAAGACAGCCATAAGCTACTAGTATTTGACCACAGATGCCTTAGAAATATTGCTGGCGTCTGTTGGGATCACCGGGTAAGTAATAGTGAGGTTAGACGCAGGGTATTAGGAAATGATGGTAAATCAGTTGATGAGGTTATGAATCTTCATCGACTGAGATGATCGGGCCACGTGTTACGTATGCCCGAACACCGATTACCACGACGTACAATGCTAACCGGTGTTGGAGATGGTTGGAAGAAAGTTAGGGGCGGCCAAACCAAAACGTGGCATCAGTGCTTGAAAACACTAACCTCTAGTCTGAGCCATGTTGGTAAATGCAGACTACTTGATTGGGGTCCGCGTGACTATCGTAACCAGTGGTTGGAGACTCTTGATGACATGGCTCAGAATCGATCACAATGGCGTAGGTGTATACATTCTCTGTCTTCCCTTAAACTAAGAGATTAAAATCACTTCATATCTTTCTTTCTACGTACTTATTCTTTCTTCCTGTACTATGTTCTTACATGCAATCTTTCTTTTATATATTACTACTAATGACTTAACCACTCCTATGAATCCGGTGTTCACCTTGCTGTGCTAATGAGGTATGGCAACTTGGACCGATGTATTTATGTGCCTGATCCTACGTTGTAGCTAACTGACTGACTGAACCGAGAGTATACTAGTTTTCAACTACCACTACATCGTTATAAAGTCTGTAACAAATATTTATTCCAAACACTTTATGAAACACACCTTCTTAAAAACAAATTCACATATATATCTCTATCTTTTAAATGTGGCATACCTTCATGTGTCCAACTTAATCATAGATGTAAATCAGAATGTCTTATGTAATTATTTTATAAATAAAA